AGGATGAACGCCCAATTTTATATCGGACGACTTCAAGCAGCATTCAACCACCTTATAATAAGTGCTAATAGTCTGTGGTGTTGACCTCATTTTTTAACTTGGTTGCTTACACAATTCAAATACTGACTATCTTACCGTTAGTGGAACTCCTTGCCACCAAAATTCCTCATCTTTCATAAGACCTCTAAATATGTTCTGTTAATGTTATGATTTTATTATTATGTGCCTTATTATTTTAATTCTAACCCATAACGCTAACCTAACTTGTGTGTTAATAAGATTAAAATCAAAATATTATTATACGAAATTAAATGACACTATAACACCCGACACCTTGTTGACAGTTTTAATATACCTAATTACAAAATCAAATTAAGCGCCGCATGAGTGATATAATAGGTAATTAATTAGCTATTGGGATTTTTTATCAATTTCTACTTAAAAACTCTAAAAGCACACTTGGATTGTGTAGCTTGATAAGTCAACTATACCAAAAAAAAAAAATATATACTGACTGGCGACTAATAAACAATGACCAATCCGTTTATATTTATCAATTTTACTAGGGGCAATTAAGACTAAACGCTTTTAAAACGTAAATGTAAGCAGTACAGATGCGGTAATTCCTGTCATGTAGGTGAAACGGTTTTCAAGCCGTTGACCCAATCGAAGCCACTCTTTAAAACGGCGTTCTCCTTTTAATAACAATGTAAAAAGCCGTGCTTTTGATAATCAGCTAGTGATAAAACGTTTTGCATTATTATTCTACATTGTTATTGTACGATGTATGACATTTGATTTCCTTTTAAATACAACAGTATAAATTTAGGCAGGCGTTTGTCGGTTCAACCGGTAATAGAAACGCTGCAATAATGTTACTTTATAATATGAATTATTTAAAAAAAACTAGGTATAGTCGGGTGACGCATGATTGAGCGCGTTAGTTCTGGAGAGGTCTATGCTGGTTTTTTAACATTCAGAGTATCGTCCGTCACCCTCTGCAACATTAAAAAAAATCTAAACGGAAGTCTTAGGTATTTTTAAATGTATCTCCATACTAAATCATTCAATCACCAAGGGCCTAGATCATTCGTTTATATTCCAATATCATCCTAACTGGTAAAATTTGAATTGTAATGAACTGAAACAAATTAAATGTAGTTTATTTTTATAGAAGTAGTGAAATGTTTTATTGTCCATCAAATAGTGTATTAGTATACATATATATAAAGCTTTAAATTGAAACAAAAACGTAATCATTGAAGTACCTTACCAAACGGATTTTCTATCCGTTTGTATTTAGTTGTTTTATTCATATTTATATTACTTTCTTTTATCTTATGTAACATAATATACGGTTACATTATACAGTATCGTTGTTGTAATTTTAGTTAAAAACTTAAATGTAATTTATTTGAAACCAATGTCAAAATTACTGTTTATTTTGTATACTATCAAAATTAACAATAATGTATGTACAATTTGACATACTTCACGTTCTGTTTGCATTTAACAATTTTTTTTGAGCACCCACATATTATTTACTAAAGATCATTGCTCGGAGAAACAAAAACGGCGTCGGTAATATATTTAGCCTGTTTCTTAACTTTCTGGCTAGTCGGTTAGGTATGAGGGTAGATGGTTTTTATGGTACTTTGGGAGCAATCTCGTGAGTAGTTCAATCGGTTTGAGTACACACCGGTTCGTGGTAGAAACTGCATAATAATGCCGTTGACTTGCCGACGAGCACCCGTTCTGTTTATTATGTAGCAACTAATAGTAGTTAAACGTTCAGGGGCAGAACTGTTTGACTTTTGTACAATGCGAATGCAAAGTGAAGGAAAAAAAACGGCGATTCTTTTTAACGCTAAGGTTATTGTTAACGGATTCCGAGTATTACTGCGAACGGCGAACATTCCCAAACTTCATTCGTGCGGTACTTAAAGCGTGCCGGAGCTGGTTGAACATTTTTTTTATGAACTGTTGATTTTTTTCTCTCCTTTTATTCGAACTCGCGCCTCGTCCGGGGCCGGGTATAAACGACGGCTTTTAATAAAATAATACAAGTATTATAATGATATTTCAAACTTATAATATTGTCGTCGACTGTCGATTGAAGGTGGTTTTTATTACTACGGTTTTTATCGTATTGTATTAATAATATTTACCTCTGTCGACATTTTCCGTCGAATGGCAAATATTTATAACGGGTATTCAATGAACTTCACGGCAGCGGCGGTGAGCATATAATATAATGTAATCCAATTGTCTGGCGGCACGCAACTTTTGCCATATACACGGCACTGCCCCACTCATCGCTAAGTCGGTTGTGGGTGTGTGTATTATATTATTGACATTACGCAACCCGTACAATGTGTCGAGTCGTTCCACGAAATGTGTATGTTTTATTTACGCAAAAAGCACATCCTTTGAATGCCCGTTTTAATAGAATAATCGGTCGGTCGGTCGGTTGTGAATGTATGTGTGTGTGTGTGTGTGTGTTGTGTCTGTACAATGTAGCGTTGTACTTCTTTTTTAACGTACACAATATAATATAATAATGCGATCGACGTCCTGACGGGGTTGAGCTTGGACTTATTTCGGATAAAAAGAAACTCGAGCAACCGACGCGACTTAACTACACATACGCCCTATCCTACTCGTTAAATCCGACTTTTAAAGCCCAACTAAACGGTCTAGAAATATAGATGTTAAGACCTGTATATTTTGGAGTTTCGTAAACATATCACCGGGTTCGCCGTTGTAATCACACTCGAAGGTCTTACTCGAGCAGCTAACAACTTAAGTACCTACTCCACGTGTTTTCGCTATACACGTCTGTACAAAAACAGACCACCGCCCTCGTTTAAATCCCGAATGGAACTACTGTGAACCAGCGTTGAGGTCGTGATCCCGTCGATCCGAATTTGGAAAAAAGAAAGTTCTTACCGCCTGAAAGCGTTTCTGTTCTTATTGTGTACAGCATAAAATACACTTGTAAAATACACTACCCGTTAAAAAACGAACTCGGATCATATTAATATAGAAGAGGATATTAACGTTGATTTGCTATCGTCGTCGTTGTTCGTGTTGTTTAGCGCACCGCCCCTTGTCGAGACGCAAAAATAGACATCCGCTGGTTGTTTTATTTGTTGGTAGGGAGAGAAGGGGTGAGCCCAAAACCAAGTATACATAAACCCTCAGGCATCGGCCGCCGCCGCCCGTCGTTTAGATTTCAGACTGGGGAACAATATATTAAATATACGGGTGAATAAAAAAAAAATATGCCATGTATATTCTCTTCTCGTCGACGTTATATTATATAGTGACCGCCACCGTGGCCGCCCTAGGGATAAACGCGACTATTGATTTTCCCTGTGTATATGTGTCTTCTGGGGTGTTCTCTACCACATACACAAACAAATTTTCTTTATGGCTTCATGTGCACACAAGCTCTATAAAAGTCCAACGCTTGTCATTAATAATTATTACAACGTACACAACAGACAATTTTCCACGCAACCGACCGACCCTAATTGTCTCTCTTACTCTGCTCATTGCCTTGTACATCATGTTGTACATGTTGAACGGCGTCGCCTCCGTCGTTGCACAAGTCTATCCTGCATCGTCTCCCTTAAGCAGTTCTTGACCTCCTCCTCCCACGTGTATTAAATATCAAAAGCGACGATCCCTACAAGAAAGTATTACAAACGCGACCCGCTAAAACTCTTGTAAATCATTTTTTCTTGCGCTTTTTATACGTCGAATCTCACACACGATTGAGTAATGCTTTCTTCGGCAGATGTCGCATTGTAAATTCCAATTCATTAGCATTCCCCTCACATGTGTGTACACACACACACACGAACATGCTCGCGCTCCCTTATTTGACGACAACAGGCAGAGGAATGACGGTGGAGGTCACGTGGCCGGTAGGGTCTTTCACCCCTTCTGCGTTGCCTCTGTCGCATCCGAGAAGATCCCCAGCTAAACCGCGCCGAGTCCCATACACACAATTTCCGGTTTGTTGTTGTGCATCGATCCTTGGTTATGCACTATATGCTATTGTTGTTAACTGTTGCAATCGATTTGTTAGCTGGTAGATATCTACAGTTAGTGAAAGATACTATGCAATGCTCTTATCATGGAAGAAATTATAAATTGTTTATGTTTTACCCATGGTTATAGTATCATATTTAGTGTGAAAGCCGCTCTAAAAAGATATTTTACCAATTTTTTTCTTTCTATCAGTACAATGAGTATATGTATAGTAACTATAATTAACGACTGACGCAGCTACCGTGTGCAGTATGTGTGTTACTTTGAGTACGTGACGTTATCGAGGTTATACGGCCGTCCGGACATGAGTTCCACCTGGAGATCTTCGGTGGTCGCCCGGCACATGTCAGGTGTGCGTCGGTGGTCGGGGCAGCTGTAGGGTATACTGTATACATTCGGAATTTCTCTAGCCGGTAGAGGGTGGCAAGAAAAAGGTCTATTTTACGAAGCAGCTGATTTCATAGCATTGCGGTGTCTACCTGTAGAATTTACCGGAATCCTCCACGGGTACAAAAAAAAAAACACTCCTTTGCACTGTTACCAAAATATTATATACCTGTCTGGGTGCATCTGTTCCCGTGATCGTCCCCCAGCGTATCTATATTCGGTTAGGTTTAGGTACATATTATTATTATGTATCTGTGCGCACACATGTTACTACACGGATTCAATACTATTATGTTTTAGAATCGGCAGTTCGGCCGGTCGTTTTTTAGGCCGTCTGAAAACGATCACTTAATATAAAATATTTGGGCTTTGGCCATCTGTCGCACCGCACCGGTCAGCCTGACCGTTGAACCGCTATCGGTCGATCAGGTGCAATCTGTATGTGCCTAGCGGAAAACCTCGACGCGCGCCGACCCTTATTGTTAAAAATTGTTTTCGTTTAAACGGGTTTGCTGCTTGTATTAAAATGTGTATTTGATTTTGTTCTTTTGCAGGATGGAACGGGAAAAGCAACGAGAAAAAGAACGGCAGTCCCGTCAGCAACAAGTATCCGAAAACAACGTCAAAGACAAAAAAGAACTATTCGGGTCGCCGGTCAAGGTAATTATTATTTGTTGTTTCCGTAAAAATCTAAATTGGCTGGCCATTGTCCCCACCTTCCTATACGCTATCCAAGCCGTGCCGCCAGTGGGGAACCTTGCTTATTCCGACACACTCGATTATACGGCCACCAAGACCGTCGTCTTCTGGATATTGCCGGTCGGCCGGGGGAATTTCCTTTCTCCTAACCGAGAGAAAATATATAGTCAATTTACTTTTGTTTTCGTACCGCCCGCCCACCGAGCGGCACATTCGCCGTGTATCTCCACTAATATAGGTAATAGTGAAACTGCCTACCCGTGTATGTAAAAATAATACACTCTGAACTGGTTGGCCTTAATACGAAACACACCGCCGTATATAATATGCAAAATGTAGGGACAACAGCTGTTTTCATTGCATTACATAATCTAATATGTACAACGTGAATGCATTTAGCCCGGTTGCATAAACATGCATTAAGCGTTTAATAAATCCTTATACATGTTTAATAATTCTAAAACCGTCACCAGCGGTTGTCGGTCTATTAAATTTTAAAATAAACTTGACAATTTTTTAACAGCCCTTTTAATTCCTTTCTAAATACTTCTTAAAACAATTTTTTCAATTCACTCGATATAACTATAAATTACTATGATAATAAAAACAAATCCTTTTCAGCTCCGCATAGTAATTTCAAACCAATAGCGATTACTTTATTTAGTATGCGTGTATTTTAAATAATGTTAGATATAATTATTTACCACCTCATACATCCATTAGCTTATATATCTCATATCAACGTAATATAATCGCTGGTATTTGTTTTTCCCTCATTGGCCAACCTCGTATTATCAATATTAGTCATTTTTGATTTACGTAAAAACGGTTATAGAAAGTACCTCTCTGCCTAGCTGTTGCTGTTGTCGTTAATGGTATATATTTCTTGCTAGGTATTACAAGTATAGTTTCCGTTAATTCATTGGATTTTATTCACAAAACGTCTCGCCATCATAATATTATAATGGTTATCGAAAATAGGTTAAAATATTATACAAGAAGTATTTCGAGTGTTATTATTCGTCTATCGTGTATTATACACACAATCAGCCTATGACCTTTTTTATGCTTTCCCCTAAGCATTTTATCGTATAATGTAATATAAAATATTCTCACACGCGTCGAACCGAACGTTGACCCGCAGAGTGCCACCCTCTTACCGGCTGGTGATTCGTGTAAAGAATATAGGCTTTCTTTCCCACCGAGTCAACTAGACGACAGTCGTTCGGCTTGTGGGGTGGGAAATGTCAATTATTACAAACATGTGAAAATTAATGATTGTTTTCTAATGACGTTAAGAGGAGCGTATTGAAAGGGAATGGGACGTAATAATAATAATAATAATATGATTTCAGTTTTTTCATTCAGTTTGCCACAACTGGCAGCATTCGACAAGCGGCTGACATATTACATAAGTTTTTTTTGGATTTTTATTTCCTGCCCTATATTCTCTCTGAAACATAATCTACTTATATACTTGTATATAAAATGCTAATATGATAACAGTATGCTATTTCATCACTACTATTAAAATATATTATATGTACCTACGGCAGTTGTCACGCTGTAAATAATTATAATAACAATCGTATGGAACTGTATGGTGTTCACAGTGGGCGATTGTCACCGTTTCTGCGTGATTTAAATAAGCATTTATTTTTTGTCCATCTCCTCTGATGGTCGATACGCGTGTATGCTTCGCGATAACGTGCACGAATAAATGTGAGTGTTGTAGAAACGTGCGCGGTGTTTAGTCATCCCGCACACGTACACAAGCCGGTCGATTGGTAAGTCCTACCCGTGACGAGAAGATGGCCCGGCCAAATTGCACCTCCCACAAACCGCATCATAACAATCAAAATGTATCACTTAAAAAAATAATAATAATAACAAAACGAGACTATCCCCGGCTAATTGTAAATGACCCCCCCCCCCCGACCGCTCCCGCAATCAGGGGGATCTGGAAAGTCTAAATATAAGTATACACGCTTTTACGGTGGTTTACATAAAGGTGTACAACGATACCTTATCAGTGGTTCGAGATTTGTTTTGAATTGTCTACGTTTTTTCAAATTCGATTTAAAGTAGTTAATCTAAGCATATATTGTCTTATGGAACAAACAAATGTTCTCATAAAACAATAAAAGTTTCAGCAATCCATATTGTTTATCTAGCAATAATATTCATTTTAGCAGAAATTGTCGTTCAATCAATTGTATCGTCATAGCGGTTTGTACAAACACAATCTGACGGACAGTTTTCTTGTCAAATCGTTACTACAGTTCAACGACGAATTTCCACAATGTTACATTATTATATTTCGAGTTTATAGAGGAAAGGGGGAAAAAATCATATTCTATGTACACGGTTTACGATCGATTAAAGTCAACTTGTGACATCCGGTGTGACGGAAGTCGACAGAGTTGATGACAAAAACTCTTCCGCGTACTTTGGAAGAGAAATCACCGTGACACTATATTACCGCGGCAGAGGGTGTAGTTTTCTCGAATAAAAAAAAAACACACACACACACACATACACAATTGTATTTCGAATAATTTAACTTATCTCAAAGCTGCAGTGTCGTCGAATGTTCTAGGTCATAAGCATTGTGTTTTTTTTCTTCTTCTCCGCTGAATCATTTATCACGTTTGACGGATCTTTGTGTATATATGTATGTATGTGTCCGATATTGTATTGTGTTAAACTCGGTGCGTTGTTATTCGCTCGAGCAAAAGAAACAATGGCCGAGATTTCGATTAGGTACACTCCGTTGGCGTGTGTCAAAGTGTGCGCAGCACAACAGACGACATTGTGTGGTATGAACTTTTGCATTCAAACTTGTTCATTTTCACCGCCCGCTAATGTTATAACAACAATAATGATATTATTATTGTTGTAATAAAGATGTGCACACCTCTAACCGTCGTAATGTTTACCACGCTTTTTCAATCACAAAACAGAGATCGACCAAGGACAAATTTACTTACACCAACTTTATCGGTTTGGTCGATCGAATTATATTTTATCGAATAAAAGTTTGCATAATACCGATTCTTACGTTGTATATTATTGGCACAACGTTAATATTGTGATTGGTTACGCTAATAAATCAATTTGATGGCCATAAATTTTAATTTCAAAGTAATAAAAAATCAGTCCTATTGTGAAAAAAAAGAAGCGTCAAATGAACACACGGGCATGTTTTATTCTCTGGCTGAACGTAAATAGGTCCAACTGGCCATTGCAATGTAAAATTATATCTATAGGCGGTATACGTGACAATAATGGTGCTTAAATAAATGTTTAAACAATCTAGTCTGTTTTAATCAATGACAAAAAACTATAAAAAAAAAAAACTAAATTAAATTAAATTTTCACGAATGTTTTTGTTCACTTTTGTGTAACGGTTTTTCTAATCGTCCCACCTTCTCGAGTTCCTCAGGCTTGCCATCTGTTGGCCGAGTGTAAGCAGTGTGTTTATCGAAGTTCCACAGCATGCAAATCGTATAATACAATTATTACAGTATTTTAATCGGTCTACTACGTTTCTTTCAGTATTGTATTTGTCCGGAATGTCATTGTCGACATCGACATAATTGCCCGGTCGCTTTATCGCAAATCACCAGTATATCTGTAACCTAGTATTATATGTGAACTAATATCATTATGCCTGTTCCGTTGTCATTCGACCTATACACCGTACACGTGCAACCTATAGACCAGTACCACTTGAAAATTTGATATATTTTAACTATTTGTATGTTTGTTTATTGTAATTTTTTTTTTTTTGGTTCGTCCTTGAGCGTCCGCCGTTAAATCGTTTTTACAATATTTTAATGATTACTATTCCGTGGACTTGACGGATAGATTTACATGAGTTCGACAATAAGCATTTAGTATCACGATTGATACAGCAAATGGGTGTACGTTTGCGTTTAAAAGGTGAGAACTGAGAAGTACAATTTTTCTTTAAAATGGTTTATTTGCCATTGATAAACTATAGATAGACGTGCGGTTATTATGTAAAAAATTCCAAACTTTATGTCAAGAACACTAGTAATTGCATACCGGCGACAAAAAGCGACCGACTTACACATACATAATAATATTAGGTAGTTGTAATAATAGTAATTTAAAGATAACCACCGATTTTTAAAACTATTTTTTTAAAGAAAACCGACTATTTAAAAAAATTATTTTCTTACACACTGATTAAAACTAATCGCTAGTATTGTTTACCGCTTAGACCCCTGTATATATATGTATATATATATATATGTTATGCTATTGTTTACCGAGGCAGACGTGACGATGAGACAGTTTCCTTGTATCAATATTGTGAAATCGAAAAAGTCGTGTTTACCACGCCGAGTGCCGAAGGTCGGACCTAAACCGAACAAAATAAAATAATCAAAAAATAATAGTTGATCTCCGAAAAATGTGTATATCTGTTTGTCAGCGTTTTTGGGTCGCTACATTAAATTCTATCGATGGGTGTTTTCTGCTAATATATTATACAACCGTCGTATGTCATTTTTGAACATCACCGTATCACTCCTTATAGAACCTACAAAGGCTGCTGCGAGTTCCGGGCGAACCACGTCTATTGTAATATATCATATAGATACATGGCGATTTTATTGCGTTATATGAGTAGGTGCGCGTTTGTAACGATTGCCGCATTGGAACACCGTCGCCTTTTTTGAGAAACGCCATTGGCATTAAAATGTAGTAATTTTTTACTTAGCAAAAAAAAAACCGACACAACGATTTGAAAAGAGAAATAACAACGTCGTACGAAATTTGCATAACAGTCTTGGCTGTCTTTGACCGACCAGAACGGCGTCGACGAGGGACCAACGTCACGTTATTTATATATATATATATATAATATAACTATAGTTATATTTATAAAATATTCTTTTCGACCATAGTAAAAAAGAAATACAACGACTTCCGCTGACTTGGATGGAAAATACTTAATATATTAACATATCTGTCGGTGTAAAAATCAATTTGAAAAGAAAATATACTCTGTTCACGCGACAGTCCGTTTTGCAAATAGAATATCCCTACGTTAATTGGCTAATCTTAGACACGACCGGGAGCAAAAAAGTATGTGTTAGGTCTTCTGTAAAAAAAAAAAATATATTTATAAAAATTAATACATTTATTTTTAAAAGTAATAACCATGATAATCTGTGTTGTATAAGTCTCTTAGATGCGATTTACACTGTTTGAGCTCCTCAGCCCTCTCCTGAACCAACGCCTATCGACAGCTTATTGCCGAGATTGCATAAATAACGTCTATTACAAAGTTTTTAATCAATCGCTTTTGAACCCACTTTACTGCTACTATGATATTATATAATTTAACGCCGAACAGTAATGAATCTTAAAAATTATCTGCATCACAAAAAATTGTGCTATATTTTATATATTAATTACTATTTTTTTTTTACTGTGCACAAAGTTAGCAAAAACAACTACTGTAGGTTTATGTATACTCAAAAATACTTAACTAAGTCGTTAAAATAAAAAAGGATTATAAACAATCCTGACTTCGTATGATTCAATCTGTTAAAAGCGTTTTAATGTTTTAACCGTCAGGAAATGCAACTAGTTGGTGAGCGCAGATAAATACAATTTTAATTCACGCCGCACCTCTACTACTGCTTAACTTAAAAAAGCTTTTATTCCCAAGTGTCATTTCACAAAACTCATTATCGACCAGTAATTATTTTCTGAAGAACTTTGTCGTCTTTGGACGTCTCATTTGGACGGCGTACAGCGTAATAATATTATAATTGATTTGACAAGGGTCTATATTTGTATATAGAAATGATTTGAAAATCGAGACCACTTGAAAGTGTCAGAATGTCTACTGTGAAAAATATATATAAATAAATAATTGAATCCTTGGGGAAATTGGCCTACTCATAGTGGATAATCCTGTATAAATGTGTACATTTCATTAAAACTTCAGTGGGCGATTTATATTTGCAGATAAATCCAGAAGGGATCGCAGTAGGGTGCGCGAGGGGGCAATAATTAGTAGAATATTCTTTTTTTGAGTATTTTAACACGTGATTTGGAAAGTGACATCTGTACTTGGGATGTTTGCGGTGTTTGGTAATCGTCCACTTTCGTCCCGTCCGTCACTTGTGTTTTTAATTTCACACCGCCGTTTAAATGCAACAATTACCTATTTTGTAAATAATAATATAATAATAATAATTGGTTGGGTATATCTTTTTAACATTTTCCGGGTGGTCGGGTCCCGTTGTGATGAGTTTTCCTAAAGTGGTCGATCAATAAATAAAACGGTCTTTGTTGGTGGCGGCGGCGGCAACATCACCAACCCGACGACGGTTTAATAACAGAATAATAACATTATATAATATAATAGTACAGTAAGACACAACCTCCTATATTTAAACCTCCTTTTCCGAGTAAAGTGTAATTCGTTTACTTTAAACACTCCTTATTAACGGTAATAGTCCGTCGACGATAGTTGTTTTACCAAGACAAACAATATATTTGTGTGTACATCATCTAGATTTAATGATTATCTTTTTATCTTATTTAGATAAAAATCATTTATCTAGATAATCGATGTGTTAAGATTTGGGTATTTTTATTAGTTGAACTTGGAATTTATTTTATATCATTATTTCATAATTAAAATGATTAAGACTAAAATTTTAACATTGAAAAATAAAAAAAATTTTCAATAATAATAATAAATAATAAACACTATTATCGTGAATCATCATATTATTAGCCAGAACGTTTATAAAATTAAATAAACAAGTGTAAAAACTGTGAATATTAATTTTTTTCTAATGAATTATTATAATGTCACAGAGAAAATAAATATTTTTTATCATTTAATGAATACCATAGTACTATTTGGCAGAATGTACTAAATTAGAAGGAACACAAATATATTTATAAATATTATTTTACATACACAGGAAAAAATATATAGTTGGATCAACTAAAATTATGGTTAATATAGGGACACAATATATTTATAGATGAATTAACCAAATGCAAAGTTCAGCTAACTAAATGTTTCGAGTGTTAAATAATAGTTGTTTCGGTAAAACAACTATTATTTAGTTATTACTATAGAATTATTGTGCCTTTATATTATCTATAATATTAGTTAATTCAACTATGTACTTTTACCTGTTTTTATCTAGATTATTTTGTTTTATTTTCATAGATATTATCTAGTAAAATATGTACATGTCATCTATATTTTAATTGGATTAAATTTTAACGAATTATTTCTTATTTATCTTTAATTTAAGTATTATTTATTTAATCTTATCTAGATAATTAAAAAACCAACTGTTTCGTTAATAATTTTTTCGCGCCGGACAACGTTCAGTAAACTTCTGAGTTCAACATATCATGACATTTAACCGTTAGACTTTATGTAACAATAACACTAATGATAAGTCTGTATTGCGCAACCCCGGGTTATTATAATTGGCTTTTTGTGTGTGTATTTTTATGTTATCCCGAAACGTAAGTACGTTTCTGTCGGTTTTTTGCCGGCACATCGGTTATATATAATATAATATATGTATATAATAGCAAATAAGAGAATATAATAACAACGTAACAATATAGGCGAGGGCGAAACAAACGCCAAGAATATACCACCGTCTGGTCCGCCCCGCGTTTGTACACGTTTGTTTCAAAGGGACCGTGTACGGAATTCTTCTTGGTCCTCTCTCTCTCTTTTTTCTTATGCTATCCCTCCTTTCTTTTTCTCCCCGTATAGTCGGAAATCGTCGTGACCGAAAATGTATAATGGGGGTGATACTTACACGTGTGCTGGCCGTTCATAATTTTTGATTTTTTTTTTTTGCATCCCTCTCCCTGATGTGAACCGCCTATTGGTTCTCATCTTGCACACATACCTGCGCTGCCTCCATTCGGTTAGGTTACTTATACACCGTTGAGTGTTGTATGTATGTATGTATGTATGTTGTTGTGTACTGACATTCAGTGTGCGCCGTTTGTTCCAGGTGGACGACTGTAACGACGACGAACAGAGTCAGCTGATCCAGAGCCAGCTGGGCTCGTTCGACGACGCCAAACCGTTCCTGGCCGACCTGACGTTCTGCGGTATCGCCGGCATGCCGCCCAGCCCGGCGCCGCCGCCGCCCACGTCCGGCTCGCATCACCATTACCCAAAGTCGTCGGTCCACCATCACGCGGCCACCGCGGCAGCCCAACAGTCGTCCCGGAGACCCGAATCGCCGGCATCCTCCACCGTCAATGGCACGACGGCACCCCCTTCGGCGGCCGCCACGGCGTTCAAAAAGCCAACGGTCACGTCCCACGCCATGTCCAGGTCGTTCCAGGCTCCGCTCAACCCGTCCAGGTGAGTCGTGTGTTAGCAGTCCACTGTCGAGTTATCACAATGTGATTGTCGATGGCCACAGAAAAAAAAGGCCGATTTGGTCACAATACAAACATGTGCCGCCGCCGTATACTCGTTTAACTACTTGATTTTTTTTTTATAGTTTTTAACTATGTACGACTTTTTTTGTGAATAAAAACACAAAAAAGGGTATCAATACACAAGTGAATATTATGATTATTGTACAAAATTCTAATATTTTGACATCTAAATGAGGTAGAGTACAATTTTTAACGGGATCAATATATGCTAGACACACGAAAAAAACTATATAGTTGGGACAACCATAATTATGGTTAATATAAGACAAATATTCTAGTTGGAATAACTAAATAAATAGTTGACCCAACTAAACATTTAGTCGATCGAACTTAATTGTATAGTTGCATTTACTATAAATATATAGTTGGTCCAACTATTTAATTAGTTATTCCAACTAGAATATGTATTGTGTCTTATATTCCAACTATGTAGTTTTTTCCGTGCAAAGTTAACATTAAACGAGAAAATGGCCTCCGCGGTTCTATTTAGTCATTTATTTATTTATAATTATCACTTTATAAGTATATTTACACTACGAGGGGTAAAAGTACAGTAGATAATTAAACAACAAAAATATATATTAATGAATAATAAAACAAAAAATATGTACAATACATTAAGTGTTTTATAAAAATACATACGTTTTAGGTATATAAGAAAATGTATATTTTATGTGATAATGTTTATGCTAGTGCCCGGTCTCTCGTCTCTTATGTTCTTACCTCGGTGACTTTGACGAACGCAATCGCACAGCAGTAAAATGTTTATACTCTGTTCTTAATCTGAACAGAGCATAAACAGCAGAATTTCTGTAGACTGATTTAAAAAAACATATTATATATGTTTATAGAAATCGAGTAGTCACATCGAATTTACTGTCGCCGTTTTGTTTTTGCCAAAATCAGACAAAGATTGTTAATAGACTGTAATAATCGAAGTGATGAGAATCAAGAGGAGCAATGTGTGTTCTTATGAGTGATGTTCATAATTTTTGTTCACTACGATTATCTCCTTTAATAATTGAAGACAAATTATTTGCACGGGTAGCAAAAAGTGTTGTTGACAAAAAAGGTGTAATCAAAAACTCTTTTGGAAACATATGGTTATTACTTATTTGTACCCTTTTGGTTCTCGTCACTTCAAGTATAACATATTATGTGTAAGACGTGTTCACTTTTATTGATTTAAAAAGAAAAAAACATTTCACGCTATAATACTTGTTTTGTAAACAGTTTAATAACAAATCCGTGCTACAAGTGACAACACTGAACAAATCACCGAAGCGATAATAATTTATTTTACGGTATCAGTTTCGCTATATCATGTAGAAAATATTCTCTGACTTATCAGCTGTTAGCAAAAATGTTAATGGCGTTTAAACCGTTTCGTGTTAAACGTTCTCTATAGATCTCTCTTCGTTGACGTTTACTGCGTAAGAATAATAGTATTTAATGTGTTTGTTTAATTGTTTGTAATCTGGTCAAGAGCCGCTATAGGGATCATGGAGTAGAAACTCACAGCAAGGTTAACATTATAACGTTATCAATGGCGTTAACTCTGGGTTTTCCTCTCTGATGGCTCGACGGTCAACCCGATTTCAACCATGTATAGGGTGTGCCATGATGTTTTTGCTGTCTTTCTCAGAAATTGTATGTGAAATTATTGCCAGCACAGCGTGAAACATCCTGTATATAATATGCATATAAATGTGTTTACCGCGTCAAAATATATCTGTTCGTTTTTAATTCTAAATCACGCCCGTACCGAATACATAATATGTATTTAATTTGGTGTTTTTTGTACGAGCATAGTATACGGTTAAAGCCCAACGATTGGGACAAAAAAAAAATCTATGCTAATTACCATTTTTGCTTAAAACAATAACTATTAAATTATTAAACAAACAGCGATAAGAAACATGGCACACAGCAGTCAGCAGCTGTTCATCTGATCCGATCTAGTTTGTGATTATTCTTATTATATATACATTTTTTTTGTTTATCAAACAAATTAACTTTCTCGTCTACTGTTTACCTACCATGTTAATTTATTTGACAGAATTCGCCACAGATTGTATAATCATCACTTACACGCCTATCATCGATAAAATATATATTACATAATTTCCCCACCCGACTGATAAATAATATTTCATACATTTTGTGCGTGGCAGTTGAACGGGACCCGCTGGCTGCTATTAATTATTGTTATTTTTATCACATGAAAACATCATAATATTAAATGAATTATCGAGTTTTATAAATTATGATTTCATAGAAGAGAATTGTTATCGATTTATTCATGGATATTTCAGCGAAATGTCGATTAACCCGAATTTTATTTCGCTGGCGAATAAACAAAAAAAAAACAACTACGCAAAAACACTTGTACGGTTTTAATATTCAATTGATATACTGCCTTACTTTAAAAACCCTTTCATCAACATTTGATTTTCGAGTGATTTGTATTTGTACCTACCTACTAAGCTTTCAGCGACTTTAAAAAATGATAGGAATGGCAGGAACGGTAGTTATGAATAACTTAAAGAAGGTTAACAAATATATTTTATAAGTTTGTTTTTGTCGACTTGGTCAATTAACAACATACAAGCTTATTAAAAATAAATGGCGAATTGTTAAAAAATCGCTGATGGGTTTTTCCTCGAAGGCTTTTGTGTGTAGGGGGGGGGGGTAACCGTGTAAATTCCGCTGTTAGCTGGTAAACGGAACAAAATGTCGCAATTATAGGCAAGACGTTTGACGAGGATTTTGCAGGAGATCAATTCGTCTAAATGGCCATATAGAACTCCTATAGTAGAAGGGTATAAAATACAAATCGGCCAGTTAGTAAAAAAAGTTCCGATAAAGGAAGAAATCAAGGATACAAATAAGGTACAATATTAAGTCAATCGATACGAAACCAAAATGTGTATATGTCGAGAAAAAAAAAACCCCCGTCTTTTAGGCAGGGTGACTTAAGTGCGACTATAATATGACAAACGGCAATACATTCACTATAGGTTATTGTAGTGTTTGTACTACGTGCCTTGCTACAAGGTAGCTGTGTATTATTTTATATTGGAAATCTACTGTGGCGGTTGAGTAGGAGCGTGCGGAGGGGAAGGGAGGAGAGGGGCAAAGCGGTTATAGTAACAGCTGTTTGGCTATCGTTGCAGTCAGTAGACAATGGCCCGTACACGCATGACGTCACCGTCGTAATAGGCTTTGAAAAATATTGGCCATTTTGTAAATCATCATAATATTTATTACATATTATTATTTTTTTACAATCGCCCACGCAAACAACGCCGGGAACGTCTATGATCCATACAGAGGTATATTATCGTATTGTTTTTAATTTTTTTTATTTTTCCGAGTTTTTTTTTACAAAGCATATATTATCTACCTTTGTCAGTCAGGAGAGTTACGGTCGAGCACTTTGAAGTTCTATAATAATATTATGATATGGAGAACGACGAACGGTGGTTGGACACAGAATTATACGATTTTCTTTAATAATATATATATATATATATAAGATTACACTATTTTAATAGGTTCTGTATGTGTAAACCCGACGGTTAATTATTATTTTATCGTTTTCCGCCGTCGGTATAATCTAATCATTAGTAGACTTTAACTGTCGATAATAGTGTAATGGATTTTACAATTTTCTAGTTAATTATGCTTACAGTTTTGTTTTTAATTTTCGCCCGAGGTTTGCGTTTCGTTCGATTGTTTTATTTTTTGTTCTTCTCTAATTAGTATTATATGTTTTTTAATTGACTTGTGTGTGCGCGGTGGTGTCGAGTGAAAGCGGCGGTTTTTCGTGTACGATACGTTCTCAATTATAGCTGTTGTTTTGTGTGTGCATTTATTATATATATATATATATATGTTATACATTATTTGATTTATCTTACTAGACCGTTGCTGCAGTTTGGCTTTGCCCACAGCCACGCAGACCTTGGCCCGGTTGCGGCTGCGGCGTCATTCGCGTTCAGGTGAAATTTAATAGTCGTGACACACTCTCGACTATATAATATAAAGTTGTAACAAAAAACCATTTTGGGCATTACAACAAAGTTTGTTTGGCGAAATTATTAAATTTAAAAAACAAAACCGCCGCCCACACGACCTCGGGGCGTGTAATTTCTCATCGCGAAACTTTTTGCTGGTCAAAATAAACTAAAACAAAATATAATGGTAACTGGCGCGTGGTCCCCACCGGACGCCGGCCGGGTTACCGAGGTTACCGCGGTTACTTTTAGTTCAGCAACCGTCGTCGGTGCGAGAAATCGATAGGGTTCATCAAACGCGGCTGTCGTGCCATCGTCTTCTCCGGTTCTTTGGTCTTGGGTGCCAAATTTTTGCCGGAGGCCTTTCAATTAAATACTATAACACAACCGTGTCGGTTTTAATTCGATTTTCGGGTTTACGTTTTCCCTTCCCATCCCACTCCTAATGACTTCGTGGTCTAGAGAGAATCATTTTAAAAGATTCGATTTCCGTCTCGGAGGGGAGGAAAAACAGGGTGGATTTATTTTTTCGCACTGTTCTTAGCGAACGATCTTTATGTACCTACTGTCCACATAATAAGATTGGCAAAGTCCCTGCGAAAGGGAAGTAAAAAAATAAGTTTAAAAAAGATTGTTATGTTTAATTTCCGTAGGATTTATTCTGTACCGGCGGCCGACTATGGAAAAGCCTCGGCTCATACAAGAGTAAGTGCTTGATTGTATGGCGAAAAAAAAAATCAAAAGAAATTGTCTATATGTCGTATTCCTCCTTTGTAAAATAAACAAAAGCTTGTCTATTGTTATTAACAGTATCAGAAAATATATTCATATCTACTAATTTAATACAATTAAAGGTTTGATCTAAAAAATGATCTTTGTAAATTTATTATGTTATTAAAAAATATTAGCCTACGCTTGTATTTATGTCACAATAATTATTACAGCAATCGTAAAACGTTTTTAACGTGCTAACCTTGAATCGAATCAAAACGTTGCTGTACATTTTACCTTTCAGTAATTATCACACGTGTATAGATAACTTCGCTGTAGCTAGGAATGTCTATTCATTCGTTTTCTCAATTATAAAAAATCTAATGTAATCAACGCAAAGTATTTGTGTCGGTAAAGGAAAAATATGGTTTCTCTTCGTTTAAGTGTACAATAGCTTTTGTCTTGTTCGTGCAAATGGTTCATGAACTGTACTTCTCCCGAAAACCTATACAAGTTTTTAAATTATCAAACTTTCATTTCGAAGGCGCACACCATGGCAGTAGCTTTATAGCGTTTATATTATGGTTATTTTTGTACATTTCTTAAGGCGCATCGCTCTTCAGCTTGAGAACCGGTTTCTACATTATATAAATTATGTACTATTATATTACATTATAGTATATTTTAAATTGCTGAATTTTCTTGAACATTCTGTACACGACTTAGGATGCGTTATTGTGCCGGAACAAGATAATAAAATTGTTTTCATCTCGTTCAACTGCTTACATTATTTTGTGAACTGATAATGTCTTTATATTTCTTTTAATCTCTTTTTGCGGCTGTATATCTCAGAAGGATATCGGCAAAACGATCAAATGCGTTTTTTTTTTTGTTGGTAAATATTATGACACTACATTTGTTTTTCGCTTGTTTACATCGACGGCTTGTTTCAAAAGCGCGTTCGTGTCAAGTAATAACTGCGTCGCATTGATGGTCGACTTGAACACTTTACCAAACCGAACCGCCAAGTTGGCATTTTCGAACAATTTTCTAAGGCCAAACTCCGAAGCGTGTTACGGGTTGCGAAAAAAAATAGCGTTTCCCCCCCCCCCTTTTGATTTTTCTCTGCGAGCACAACTACAGACCTGCATCGTGTGAACTGTAACCGTGTAGGCGAGCGTCTTGCCGAGAGAGGCGAGCTGCTGCGTGAGAGATACGCGAAAACACACAAATCAAGACGTGTGTTTCTCTCCTAAATAAATATGCTTTTGTCGCGCGTCGCACATGCCGTGTAATTGCTGTTGTTTTAGTAGTTGTGCGGAATAAATAAATACAACAACAGCGAACGGACCTGAGTCACGTTTTGCACATGTACGAAAAATAAAAAAAAAAAGGGTGTAAGTACAATGAAAACTGCTCGTGCGCAGTTCACAGGAAATCCTCCTCCAGCGGCGGCGGCGGCGGCGGTCCCTTCCGAAATTCCACCTATAGCGTCGACGCTGTTCTTTTTTTTTTTTTCAAAGACTTTCGGCCAACAAGTCCGTCACCGTGTCCTTGGACGTTCACGTTTAAGGTCAAGGCACGGCTCGTTAACAAAATGTGCCGTGACGGTCACCACATAAAAATGAGTTATAATAATTAATTATTATTGTCGGCCACTATTATAATGTTACTATTGCAAAACGAGAGAAAATTCTAGCGGTCGCGGTCGCGCCGTCGATATTACACATCGGTACGTGATTACAATAAAATATAATATAATGAGATGTAACATTATTATTGCCGTATACCCGTTTTATTATAGTTGTTTGTGACGGCGGCGGTTAGCTCGTGTCTCCTTTCTAAGGTTTCTCTCGGCTCAAGGCCGCCGCCGTTTACATAAAATACGATATTATCCAAACCGCAAGCCCTACGGTATAAATAATTATTTTAATATAGTATATATATATATATATATATGTCGTTGTCGTTCGATCTATTGCCTAATGATAAATTGTAATTTTTCAGGAACGGTCACTTTTTGAAACCTGGCGAAATGAAACCGCCGTCGTACTCTTCCCTGGGCGGCCGAACGACAAGCACGGGCAGCAGCAGCAGCAGCAGCAGCATGAGGATCAACGGTCATTCGTCATCATCCGGTTCTTCACACCACAGGCCGGCGCACAAGCCCAACCTTGCCGCCATATCGAATGTAAACTGAATTTTTGAAAAAGAAAAAAAAAAACAAAACGGTCGACTTGTCATGAATGTACTGAAAAATAAAAAAAAAGTCACAGTCGCCTAACAGCTAAAATTATGGAACATGGAACATGCTTTAGCCTGCTGGCTCCTGAATAGAGATTTTTTCTGATCTGTAATCTCCTTGCGATTTATGACGATAATTATATGTTCTGGACAAAACGTTTGCGTTGACGACGGCGGCTCGTTATATTATACGTTTGAAGTAGACGCGCTACTTTCGTGACGCTATTTTGTGTCGTTTTTGAGCTGGGCGGCCTAGGCTAATGCAAGTTCCGTGCTAAAACAAAGCTAGCGCAGTGGGGGCGGAAAGGTGACGGGTTTTGGAGAATTGTTTTAATTCAAAGTAATTAATGCAATCGTTTAAAAGAAAACGTATGTACAAAACAATGTACATCTATAATAGTGCTGTATAGAGTCTAAAGAATATCCCACACTAGTTTGTGATTTGTTCTTCCGCTATTTTTCAATGGCGTTTTATTATAAAATTCTGATAACGATGCGTTTTTTTTTGCACTCCAAGTCATAATATTTTATTGTGTAATTAATTGACACAAGTCGTCCGTTTTGCGTGGAAACGGTTATCTCGTTCGTCGGTCGACCTAACATTTGATTGTTTTTCGCAGAATCATAGTTCCGGCGATATCAATACGCCAAGCACAATCGAAGACATTTTAAAAGTAAGTAATTTTTGCGAATAATAAAATTATGGTGTTTGTCAATTCTTTTTAAACGAATTTTTTTTTTGTAGGAAATGACTGTGGGTCTTCCGCTAGTGTCGGACATCGCTGAAACGCCCAGAGTGACCATCGTCGACTCCAAGTACACGGCCGACGGCAAAGTGGAACCGCAGCAGAGAATGAGCCCCAAAGGTAACCATCGATTTACTATTTTCGTGATTTGACACGCTCTAGCCTGTCCCACCTCTCTCTCCGTCCTCCTTATTTTAGACGTCCTCGACAGTTCTCAAAAAGTTTCCTAAGTAGTATAAAAACAAAAACTTTAAGTGCTTCGTTCTATTATTATTGACTGAATAAAACATATCTTAGGTGCCTATAATCATTTTTAATATTATTTATTTGGAACACCGTTTACCACCTCTTTGTGGTCTGCTCACGCGACACGAACTCTGACTCTCGGTTCGTTGAACTCCCTTAAAGTTTGGTCTGACCTACCAGAAGTTTTTACTAGTTCAAATTGCTATGTCATGATAACTACGCGCTACTATGATTCGTCCGAAGGGTAAACTCTTGTCTTGGGGTTTTTTTTTATACTCCAATATAGTGTTTACACTGTCACATTCGTCTCATTTAGAACTGGCGTCCCGCTGTTATAAGGGCCGTCCTGTTTTTTCTTCTTCCAAAGAGATCTTTGTCGAACACAATACCGAAGAAATAAAAAAAAAAAATTATTTCGGACGGAAAAGAAATATAATATAGTACATTTAAACGTGTCGTCGAGGTCAAGTCGGCTTGCGTTTGTGTGTTTTTGAGTAATTTATTCTGTCCAGAAGAGACAGACCTCGGTTTTCTAGATGGATTTAATCGATTTCTTTACATCTCGGAAACGGTATATTGTGTATTTTCCTTTTAGACTCGTACATATTTATGGGTACCGAGAAAGAGAAGATTACCTACTCTGTATACCATTATGTATACTCCCATCATCCGAGTATAATAATAATGATATAATTACAAAACTAGTCGTGACGTACAGTGCCCCCTCTGCCCTATCTCGCTTGATATGTAATTTTTGAAAAAAAATAAAACGTCTAGTCCGCCTACTCTTTGGCCGCTGTGGCTGCACCGTCATCGTTCATCGCAGTCGGGTTTCCTTATGTCGTTCATGTATAATAGTTTTTATCGTAGTATCCACCCAGTGTATTGCGCATGGTACCTATTTGTTACAATAAGGTCTCGAGACTGAAAACATGGTCGTGAGCCAGTGTGTTTTTTCCCACTTGAAATATTCATCAAGACAACCGGAAAGAAGTGGCAAAAACGATTCGTTGGACTAACGACAGTTATTATTTCCTTCATACACTGCTGGTATCCCTCCACGTGTTGTGACCGAATAATAATAATTATTATTATTATTATTGGATCGTCATGTAAAGAGTTATAATATAAATAATATGGGGTCAGATTATTGGTTGGCGTGTGTTCAGTGTTCACTCTTCCCCGCCCGACTGCGAACCCTTCTCTTTCCTTTTAGTTTTCCAACACGACAACACAAATAATAAGTTTTTCAATATAGTCGTTCGCTCTGCCCTATCGTGCTTTATGACATAATAATATTAAAAAAAAAAAAATTCCCCCTTCCTTCGTCTCCACAAAAACGTCGTCTTGCTGCTTGTCCTATTCGTTATCGACACTCTAATATACTGTCACTCAAAACGGCCTCCCACATTTTCCCCACGCCGGCCGTCTGTCTTCGGTACCTATCATTCTCAAGTTACCTCTTTACCTTTATTTTTGTTTTTGGAACTCTTTCAAACTCTTTTACATTTATCTCCATTACACATTGCACGTCCAAACCGTATGCACTCAGTCCATCTTGTTTTCATTTTCATTCGCGGTATTCTTTCGAGGGGGTTGCTCTCTTGAAAATCGTTCTAGATTAAAAAAAAAAAAAAAAAGGTGCATTCATTCGCTTGGTAATTCAATCAGGTGTCGTCGGCGGGAAAAGTGTGGAAAAATCACCAGTATTGCTGTTACTCGGATTGTATACAAAACGTTTAGCCGTCAATCGATAGAGACTCGAGTAACGGTAATCCCTTTGGCGACTCCGCGGTACAATGTGTGTAGGCTTGTGTGTTCGTTTCGACTGTTGTTTAAGGATTTTCATTTCGACGAATCCACGTTTAACACGGTACGACGTCCAAAGTCTTGTAATCCAATCGTAATCGCCTCCTACCACTCGTACAGCGTATTCGGCGCATACATTATATCCAATTACCGGACACCGGCAATGCTGTGTCGGTGTTTACGGCTGTTTGCTGACCACATCCCGTCGAATCGCCTTGCGGCCAAAGTAGTAATAATAATTAGGGGAGGCACGCCGCGCGCAGCTAGTTTTTGGTCGCCAAAACGCGCGTCGCAGCTGCTTCTGTCCTCCTCCTCTCCCCCCCCCCGCGCCGGCACAAGAAACAAAACCAGATGCCTTCTTATATTATTAATTTCGTAGTACCCTCGTTTTATTTTCACTTGCGACGACAGTGTTCGAGTAGAAAACACCCGACCAACAGGTATAACGACGCCGCGTAGTGTGTACACCGCGAAGCCGGCCGGTTCCCATGCGAATCCTACGATTGTTATTATTCAAATCTGCCGTTTGTCGCCGCCCTTACACTAGTAGTGAGACTACTACTATTATACTGCTTCGATCTACAACCCCCTTTTTATTTTATTTAATGCGTCGTGCTGTTAATTCTTTTCATTCGGCTACCCCTCGGTTTCAGAAAAAAAAAAAAAATAATATCGACTAGATCCGCTCCGCGTTGGCCGCAGTAGGGCGAGTGAGTAAGCCGACAACAGTAGTCTGACGCACGGTCGCGTTTCGTTTTATATAATAACTGTTAGACGTTGCGTTGTTTTCGAACTTGCCGTTTACTAAATTGCCGTTTCTTTTTTTTTGATAATGTCATCGCAGATGCATCGGAAAGCCTAAAGAAAATGTTGGGCGACCCGCAACAGTTGTTCCCCGATCCGGTGCACAGGTCGGCGCAACAAATGCCGGCTTCGCACGTGTCGCCGGATCCCGCTTCCAGCATACCCATGGACGCCAAACCGTCGGGACCTTACAACCATTCGCTGTTTGCCTCGTAAGTACCGAATTTCGTCTTGTTTTTTGGACGAAAGAAAATACGACGGTCGTCGATTGTGTGTATTGTTTTCATTAACACGTTTTCGCTATATCCGTACAGGTATATGGTGAAACCTTCGGTCAGGGGGCCCAACATCGTGCCACAAGCGCAACAGCCTCAGGTGAGTCGACCACCGTGTCCAACCTGACCATGCCGGTTACTAAAATTGTGTGCATTTTCAGGAATCGCAGCAATTGACGTCGTCGCCGGTCGACAAGGGCCGTCGCAGTTCTACGTCGACAAATGTGTTATCGGATAACGCCAACAATTCCGGCAGGTGAGTGTACCGCCAAAAGAGTTGGGACTCGGCTTGTAGTGTAGCCGGTTCGACACGGTTCATTCTGGCAGATAGTTTCGGATGAGTCCATTACAAATGAACCGCGTGAACGATTAACAAAGTTGGGCCAGGTCTAACTTTGGTTCACTTGGACGATTCATCCAAAATGCATCACCAAAAGTGAACCGTGTAAACGGTGACTATAAGTGTCAAAAAAAATTGGTCGCTCAAAGTTATGTTGACGTTCTCAGAGCCGAAAAGGTGAGCAGCGATATGTCCGTGGACGAGGACAGCTCGTCCAGCGAGGAGGGCGAGAAGGACAGTAGTTCGGACAGCAGCGGAAGCGACAGTGAGAGCGGCGACGAGAAGAAAGAAGCACCGCCCATGTCACCTCCCAGCCAACAGGAACAGGAAGAGGAACAGCCTAGATGGTATCTGAAAAACTTTTTGAAAAAGAGTACGCCCGACACCAACAACACCACCAGGACTTCTCAACAGGTACGCTTAACGTCGATAAAAGGGTTAGCCACAAATTAGTTAATAACTGAGACTGCTAATTGTTATGTAAAGGTAGGGTGAAAAATTGAATTGACCAAATAAACATTAATGCTATAGTTCAAACGTATAATATATTCGTATGTATGGCCGGTTCGGTTGTGTCTTTACAAATGGGGGATCTATAAATGCTTTGAAAATAAAAATAATAAAATCCACGGAAGTTTGACATGTTATTTTTTTTATACAAAAGTTGTTAAAATTATGTCATTCAAAAAATTATTGCAACGTGAATAATGAGTTACCTACCCTACGTATCATAACAATTAAATATATCTCGATACAACTAGAAAAAAAGGATATTTTTTTGATATAGTGAATATAATTTAAAAATATAGATATTTTGTTATTACTGTAAAGACCTAAAGAACATTATTCGTATTCTTGTGTTATATAATATTATATACTACATCTTAAAGTGTTTTAAACTCAAATTGCATTTATAATTGTAAAAGGTCTCTGTATTCTGTACATAAATATACGTATATTTCATAGGCAGTGAAGTGTATCGCCTCCATAAAATAACATTTTATTGGGAACAAAATAATATTGTACAGGCTAGCCGCTAGATAAAAAGAATGGTCATGGGGAGGTAATGTCGTATCGGTTACATTGCGAGTAGCCAAATGTCGGTCTCGATCATTTATCCATGGGTACATAGTGACGGGAGAAACTGCGTCGCAGTTGGCGCAAAAAGAAAACATTGCAGTACAATATATTTGTTTATTTGTAGTGGTCACACTGCAAGATGTTAGTGTTATCGCTTTTATTGTCAAAACGCACGAATCTGATATAGAAACTTTTAATTTTTATGATAATCGTCGCTATAAATTAAAATTTTTAAGCAAAACGAGCTAAAAATGTAGTTCTTTTAAGTTTTAAATCAGTGAATCGATTTACATTCGTTTGTATAAACCATTTTGTTGAAAAATGCGTTCGGTAAAATATACGCCAATACGTTATATATGGAGTTTGGGTTTCGGACGGATAAGAGATACTCATTAGGTAAGAAAATAACATTGACCAAACAATTTCTTTATGCAATCATAATCGGGTACTATTTAACACATAAACCGTCAGTTAAGTCAAGTAGTTAAATAAATTTTGTTTATTTTGTTCGAAATAAGCAAACGCTACCCGCTACTTAATCATGATATTCACATATAATTCATAATAGCGATTTACTTTTGGCATTTGCGACCTGGATGTCCGGATCCCAATATTATGACTGAACATTGTATTGTCATCCAAAATGAGTGTCTGGGTTAAATTCCCGCCTTTTACGATGTTAGAAAGTGGGTTATTTTGGAAGATTTAAAAAATTATAACATTTTAGTGTAATGACCCTCACATAAGACCCTTTGTACAGTGACCTAGATGTCGTGAGTCCCAATATTATTACACGATATTATATTGTCATCCGAGATGAGTGTCTGTGCCAAGTTTCAGCCCTCTACGGCATCAGAAAGTGGGTTAAATTAATTTTGCAAGATTTGAAAAATGTCTGTACAAACATACGTATGTGTTAGCGAGTTAAAGAAAAGCATGTAACAAAACAAATTTATAAGCATTGTAGATTGATTTAAGTATAAGATCTCTAAACAAACATTAACTTGCTCATTTTAAAAAAATATTTTTTTTTTAAATACGCATTGAGGTGCTCTCCGGAATATTGTCCTCTTTAAATTTTATATTACACGCTATATTTAAGCGAGTTATACACATGTCACATTCTGCATAAACTTGTTGTTACTATTAAAAAAGTATGACACCTTATTAACCAAAATTAATTACCATATTTTTCTAATACCTAGATATTATTGCTTTTATTAGATTTTATTAAGTTTGAAAATGTGTTTTTATACAAAGTGTATGTTTTGTACACGTGTTTCAAAAATGTTTACATAATATGGTAAGATGTCATAGTGTTAACCAACTTTTTTTTTTCAATTCATTGCAGGTCATTTAAACTAAAAATGAACAATTTTTTTTTTCAAAGGTGCTGATTTTAATTTAGCTACCTGGATATTTTTCATCCAAAATTTACATTTGTTTAGAATATAGTAATTTTTATGTCTAATATAACGAGCCCTATGTTAGGTTGAAGTGGTTTAAAATAAGTTATCTAGTTCCTTGTTGGGAACAGGTATGTTAAGTCCTGTTTTATTTAAATAGAACAGTTTGTTTAATATTTATCATAATTTTAATCTACATTAGAATATTCAATACAAATTAATGAATACTTTTTTTAAATCCATAAAATTGTATTTGCTTTAAAATTTTGGTGCATTTACCTAATGACTTCTCTTTACTTGTTTCAGGAGGAACCATCCGGGTTGAGTGATCCCAAATCTAGTCCAGGTTTTCAGAGCCAAAGGTCCGAGGCGATTGAACTGCTGTCCGAGATGTCTGACTCAGACTCAAACCACAGCGAAAAACCAAAGAGCCAGTCAGAATCATCATCATCGTCATCGTCCTCTTCATCATCGTCCGATGATGAAGACGATAAAAAGAAAAAGACTTGTGAAAGCAGTTGTGATAGTGATTCTTCGTGCAACAGCCGTTCACGTGCGTTTGCCAAGCCCGTGACCGATCTACACAAGAAATACTCAGCGCTGGCCAAATGTGAGAAGAAAGAACTAAAAAAGCCGTTGTTTAACAAACCAGTCAAAGCCACTTCGTCTGAAAGGAAACAGCAGTCAACACCGACGATGGCTGTGCCCCCACCACCACCAGTGACGATAATAAAGGAAGAACCTACAGAGGAGCCGGTCAAGAAGAAGAGAGGTCGGAAGAAGGGGTCGACAAACGCACCCAAATTACAGCCTTCTAAGATCAAGTCGAAACCAGTGATATCATCGGATTCAGAAGACGATGATCCACCACCTAAGCCAGTTAAAACCAGCGAAAAGCGCAGAGGCCGTCCGCCAGGCAGCAAAAAATCCAAAAGGGTGTCCGCCACCAGTGAATCCGAAGAGTGGACTGACAATAGCCGGAAGAGTCGAAAGCTCAAAGAGTCGTCACTTGACAAGAAGAAGTCATCGTCGTCTTCTTCTTTGCATTCGCACATGCAATCGGGGAAGAAAACACCATCATGGGAGAAGAATCCACCCCAGAAACCGGTTGCTAGGGTCAGCGCTGCCTTGCGCACTGTCCGGTCTGTTTCCAGCAGCGCTGAGTCTGATTTGTCCGATGTGGAGTGCCGACCACACAATGCTATTTCAGGAGGCACAACTGAGAGCCCGCCCAAATTGGATGTGGAGGGCGTGAAGGTACAGGACAAGAAAAAGAATGACACGCTGCGCAAGCTGTTCAGAACTCGTCGGGAGGAACCCAAATGTGGAGGTAAGGCCAAAGGTGGCAAGGGTGGCAAAGGTGGCGTGATCATCATCGACAATAATGAGGCCATGCGCAACGACAACGAGCGAGTTATTTCACCGGTGCCCGTCTTGCCGCCCGTTATCATCAAGGAACCCATTGAAAATGTAACGGCTCCTATCCGATTAATGTGCAAGATTCCATTAGGCAAGCTGCGCGATTTAAATTACCTTCTAAAAAGCGGTCGGTCCGAAGAACTTAGGTGTCGTGCCGATTTGGCCAACACCAGGCCATGTGGAGACCAGGAGAAAAAACAAAAGCACAGACACCACAAACACCACTACAAGAGCAGCCCGTCTTCGTCGCAGACGTGTTTGGCATCGGAAAAATCCAAAACAAACGAATCTCCAGCCAACGCTGTGGCGCCCACACAGCCCTTGCTTCAGTCTTCATCTTCTGAAGGCTATTCCAAAAGCATGATGGACAACGTGAACGTCTGGCGTAAACCCACTTCTGTGTGTGCCGTCATTCCTGAGGCCAAAGTGAAACCACTTGAGCACATGCCTACAAAGTGAGTGTAAACAACGTAAATATTTAGGAAGACTTTTATCTATAAAGCCACTAATTTTTTTATTATCTTTTTTTATTTATAATTTACCCATTCCAAAGTTACCTAATTTTTCAACCATTTAAGTTAATACTAACTACAAAACCTTGTCTTTGTATATGTATTAATAATTATACTGTTTTTACCTGTTTACAGCACAATGTCGTACATGCCACGACAACCGACGACCAACGGTCTCATGCATTCAGTGTCCTACGATGATTCGTCTGAAGAAGAAGACAGTGGTCCACCGCCATTTCATTCATTCGGTGGGCCCGTCCAGATCATGGACCCACGGTACAAACGTTCCCTAGAACTAGATCAGTATCCGAGCACTGCGTCCAAAAGGAGGAAATACATGACCTCTCCCGGTACTGCCCAACTGGCCAGGTATGCTTTACATGAAGTACCCGTACCGACTCCTCCTAGACAACCGTCATGGCGCTTGCAGTCCATGCACCATCAATGTCCACCCAGAAAAAGGTTCTTCTCATATTTTGTTCCCGAGTATTACCCGGAAAACAAGTAAGCTTTGCAGTGTAGATGTGTATACTTGGTATATTTTTACTAAACGTGTATAATTATTGTATTTTAGCATGCACCAAGAAGTGCCATTGAAAGAAGCACAAGCGCTGACCAAACTTGCTGAATACGAACCCGACCCGATCACGCAGGAAATGAAGTACCTGGACGGTATACTGTGTTTTGTTCTCAGCGGACACTTGATGGAGAATGACGGCACCAGAGAACGAGCCGTGCTCAAGATCTATAACGACACCATAGACTTGATCAAGTTAGTCGAGATTTTTTCTTATTTGTTAGATGGTGTTTAGATTGGTTATTTCTGTAACATGTTTTTTGTTTGATTTTTCAGAGTGATTTGGTCAAAAATCTACAATTACCGCGCAGACTGTGATCAAGAAGAACTGGACGAGATATTTGAGTTAGCTGACAACCCAGAAAAAGACAATAGGCTCTTAATACTGTGGATGAGGTGTTTGAGTTTCTTGAGGTTAAAACTGTTCAAGCTGCTCAACTATCAAAACCGAACGAACTACAAGACTGTTCAGCAACATTTTCTTAAGGTAAACGTCACATCCCTTCCTCCTTACAACTGTCCATCTGTCGAGTGTGTAATAATTTTGTGTTTGGTCTTCAGACTGTGGGCGTGAGTCCCATTTCACCCTCTCCGTCTCCGGCCAGCTCGGTGGAGAGCCACTCGTCGGGCTACTGCAGCAGCAACATTACGCCAAGTGCGGCAGCAGCGTCTGGAGCAGCTACCGGAACCATATCTGTGCCTATGAACGTTCACAACTCGTTATACGCCGAACACCAGCTGTACTGTCATCTTGCTGCATCGCACGACATGTGGCAACGAGCCGATCTTTTGGTGATGCGTGGAAAGCATACTCGTAAGTCAAAATCGTATCCATTGCATTTATTTCAATTTCACTTGTCCATTCGCAGTTTAAAATACACACTTCTCTTTAGCAGATTTCTTCATCGAGATGGATCGTCACTGTGGTCCCCTGACGTTGCACAGTACAGGCTATGATCTCACCCTGTATGCTCGCATAGCCATATCCCGCATGAGATCTGAATTCAACATTAAGAACTACCTTCCATGATATTTAGCCAACACCATCATCGTGCCACACGATGGTGAAGTGGAAACAATATTTTGTCCCGGTACACTAAGACAGCCGCCATGCTCTGTGCATACATCATCAGTACTTTAGACTTAAGTCGCTGATGATTCATCGTTAACCTTTCTTATCGATTCGTCTTTATTTCGCAAAAAAAAAAATTATATTTAAATAAAAAAACCACTATTTATTTATGTAGACAACTGTAGATGTATAATGTACATACAACTTTTGTACAGCAATATTCTAATTTTCTTCGTTAATTTCTGTTTTTTTTTTTGTTTAATTTGTTTTATCTGCAGAAAGCAATTATTCATCAATATATATATAAATATTTTTACATTTAAGTTATAATATATATATGTATATGTATATTATTTATAAATATATGTTTATAATAAACATAAAGTTTCAAAAGCCATTTGGTACTAAATAATAAAAAAAACGATACATATATTTAATTAATATTGGCAGTTTTAAAAGCAACTTTGGGCTTGGGTATATTTAAAATATCATATTTGAACGTTACACATGGTTTAAAAAAAAAATATATTAAATTATATCTTATATTTAAAGTAAATTTTAACTATATTTTATTATACGTCTTAAATAATTTAACAAAAAAAAAAAAAAAACATTAGGATTTTTGAATATTAATAGAAAAAAAAAAAAAAATTATTATAAAATACATATGGTATATTTTTATAATAACGAGTTAAATTTTTGATTTTTACAGTATATCAATAATATATAGTAACTATAAAAAGATACTATGAAAGTATAAAAACAATTAAAATTTTAAAAAAAGCTTGTAAAAATATTTTAAGTTGTTATTGTTATACAACATTATTGTATTACATATATTGATATGTAGGAATTCATTCCTCGCTTAGATAAATTAAAAAAGATTGTAAGCTGCCCGAGCACAACGCTCTGGCCAAAAAACATTCTAAAAATATTATAATTTTATTAATTTTAAGAGTTACCTTTGTGTTAAAAAAAATATATAGTTTGTATGCAGTGGTGTAGTCGTAAATGTATGTGTTGTGTGTACTCGCCACCTACTTATGTGTCCGCTGATTGGGCCGTATTCTGAAAAGCTGGTGGTGAGTACACTTGGCATATATCCTTATGACTATATCACTGTAAATGTATGTAGTAGCCAAATGTGTACAAAAACAACACCAATGTTTATATTATTATTTTATAAATTTTCTTCCGATCGAAAGACTCTCGGGGCTTTAGGTTAGGCTTGTCGCGTTTTGTCTTTCGATCGAGGCACAAATCGTTGCTCGCTCGAAAGTCAAAACTGTAAATGGGTTTTGATTTCTTGTTTTTTTTTCTTTACAACAATTTAATTATTGTACTCTTTCTTAATCTTTTTATGCGAAAAAAAATTAGTTTGAGCTTTGTGAGTTTTTTGATAAGACGCATAATATTTAACAAATAATTTTAAGCCGCATATATAAATGTATATACATATATATATATATGTATACATATTTTATTTTATTACATTTTTTAAGATCTTTTTATTCCATAAGGGGTTTTCTGTGTAAGACGAAACAGCTTTTGACTATTTCATCAATATTGTGCGATAATAATAATAATCTTTTGGTACAAATGTTTGACCAAAATCGTTTTTTAATGGAATCGACTTCATACTATTAAATTTAGAAATTGTTTTCAATTATACAATATAGAAAAACAATTAGACTGCAAATGAATTCTTTATTAGATATGTTGTAAAAAACAGAATACTAAAAAAAAAATATTTTTTATGATATAATATAATTAAATGTATAAACCAAAGTCTGATTTATATTGCCTTAAAAATAATATAGAATATAATTTTATTAATTGATTATTGTAAAGAGAATAATTAGCGACATGTATACATTTATATTTTAGAATATTTCCCCCCTCCCCAAACTTCTCACGTATTCCCGATTTTTTTTTTATAAATAATTATATTTATATCTATGAAACCCATTTTACTTTCTTTGTTGTTTTGTTAGTGTTAATTTATTATTATTATTAATTTTTTCGTTATATATTTTATGTAAAATAAAAAATACAAAAATAGCAATATACAATGAACATTACCAATTCCACACGTTTAAATTGTATTATTATTATAATTTTTTTTTTTTATGTAGTAGTAATAATTCCGTCTCACAAACAAATATGTTTTTTAGTTGAATTTTGTGTTTTATTTAAAAAAAAAAAGAAATATATATATATGTATATTAATTTTAGTCTCATCAGTATTTTTTTTTTTTTTTTGAATACAATAATATTTAAATAATACATAAAATCCCGTCGGGTTTTACCAATAAATAGTTGACCAATACCATATTATATAATGTTTCCCGATTATTTATCATATATACTATAATTATTGTATCAATTAAAGAAAAATAAGAATGTTTTAAAAAAAAAAAAGTATTTGATTATCGCAACGGATTATAAATAATTATTCTTATATGTAATATTATTGTGTTAAGGATAGAAAAAAAAATTATATTATAATCTACTATTTTTATGTTATATATATATAATTTATAATATTGAAAAAAGAACTAAAAAAAAAAAAAAAATTAAATGATAAAAAAAAAATACAAATATTTGAAAATTACTCATCATTGTGTTGTTTTTAACCTTTGAATTTCGATTGGTACTAATTGAGATTTAATACAATTTTAGAATAGTATAACATACTTGCAATAGTTGAAAATTATTGTCAACACGGATTGAATAAAAATGTACCGTTTTTATTTTTTACGGGTTGGAATAATTAAGTCCAAGTTGCAAAACTTTTAATGCTGCGTATCGAATAATCATTTACTAATTAAGGGTATTAATGGGGTTTGTTTTTTGGACGTGTTTTAGACCAAAAGCCTAATAACATTTTAAATACTTAGGAATTAGGATGGTCCGATTTTAATAAAAAGTGGGCCAGTCCAAGTTTCAAAATGTTGTCACTGCGAAATCATTTTTTTACCTCCAATTCTCCAAAATGGCTTTTACTTGTACAACAAATTGTATAAGTTCCAAATAATACCTCGATTTAGCTTATACAAATTAACCTAAAACTAAAATGATGTGTCATGGGGTCGAAATTTATTAAAGCCACTTTTTTCTCAAATGTTGCCAACGTATAACTCCTTAAAAAGCCGCCTACTCTCAACCCCCTTAATGTTAACGAAGAAGTTAGGTACATGAAAATGTATGAAAAACGTTACTTAAACTTTGGCCTAACCATTTCGCTTTACTCGAAGAAATATAACTCCATGTCGCGTTTGGAAAGCGTGGTGTAACTTTAAAAGTGTTGAGCTAATAAAAAAATGACGGGTTATAAATGCTATTTGTCGGTTGTAAGTGTCAATTGTCAAGTGATTTCTCTACATCGTGGATTCAATTATTGCTGTTCGACGAAAAAAACAGTTTAGTTTAGACAATGGTTAAGCGTAGACGTGGCTGTTAAGTATTCAATTGTTAAGACACGGGAGTGTTGTTTAGCGGTTTTTATTTTTGGCCTTTTTTTTTTTAAATTTTGTCATCGCTGAATGCCGACTGTTTTAACCTCTTTTAACATGCATAGCAAAATCTTATAGCTTACACGCTCCAGGCACTCCGGTCGGATTGACAAACACAAAGCGGTTGAAAAAGTGGCGTATATAGGGGAGGGGAGGGGTTGAACCCCAAAAACCCTCCCCTATATACGCCCCCGAAATCCGTGGTTGGTACGGCACCTGTGCGAATTTATTTAATCAAAATTAATTAAATCTATTCTTATTTTATAACCCCCTCCCGAAATTATATCCTATGTATATGCGCCACTGGGTTGAAACTCATTTGTGAACTTGGTCGAACGAAAACAAAAAAATATTATAGAACGAATAGAAAAAGAGTAGAATGGTTGAATAACAACTACTATGTAGAAATAATTATTTGAAAGTAAAATTTTTGTTCTTCTTTATAGTAATTTTGACTTGAACAGTGTTGCAATAATACCGTGTTTCATGTTGAGAAGTACCTAACACTTATTTGCCGCTGTTGTTCTTTGGTTGAACTCCGGCCATTTCCTCGCGGTCGTTTGCCCTCTATTCGCGTCTACTCCAACAATTATTTAAAGTTAGTACCTTAATTCTTGGTTTACATGTATATATATATATATATAAGAAAAGGGGACTCTGGAATGTACACCCACTATAACGCGAGTGGATTAATAATGGACGTTGGCTAGTACGTCATAATCCTGAATTTTTTATGGGACAAAATATATTTATATATATATATTATGTATATGTATAAAAGTTGCGATATAATTAGTTTCCGGACAACTGCACGCAAACAAAATCCAATACAAAGCGGAAAAATTCTAATTAAAAACTTTTTGATTAGTTTTCTTTTATCTTTTCGGACGACGGGGCAAGTCGTACAAATATATATATATATATATATCATATAAAACACAATAAGGTCCGGACGCAATTAATTTCACCCTCATCCGTCTCCTCGCGACCGTCGTTCCCTTTAACCGTACCCGACATACACTCGTTTACCCAAATAACATATTATTTAATAATAATTCGTTTAAACGTTATCATAATAAAATACCGGACGATTACGAGCATGTGAAGGGAGTTTAATAATTGTTTTAATTTTACCACCTACAAATGTCATATAATGTGATGTTCGGCTAAAACAACCTGGGCCCCGGGGACTGTTTAGCGTCGAAATTGCCTAGCTTACACATTACACGTGACACGGTCTGATCGTCCGGTTTCCGATCCGAATTGCCATTCACTTAAACCGTAAACCCAGCCTTGTACACCGAGAGTGCTGACCAGCTGTATGTAAGTCATACCGGTCGATAGTGAACACTCGATCTTTGAAAATTGAAATACTCACACAAGTCATATCCGGTATCTATAAAAAACGTTAGAAAAGTAACGACCGCTGCGCGCTGTTGAGTTCACAGACTTGGACAATAAAAAGCTGATGGCATCACACTGTGTTAAGTATAGGCGACTTTTTGACCTATTAATACTGAAAACGGTATACTCGTATATTATTTTATACCAATATAGCAAAGATAAATCACTTTCGGCATTTAATACAGAGTGGTCGTTTTATCGTGAACCACTCAATATCTCATAGGGTTGAAAAAGAAATTAATATTTTTTTTTGCATAGGTAATGTTTTTATACAACGTGTTTACGCATTTTTTTTAAATTTTTACCCTCCTCCTAACTAGTTTTTTTTTGATAGCAACTTTTGAAACTTAAATGGTAACGAATTAATTTCATTATCTTTTTAAATTGAGAATAATGTACTAAAAATGTTGACTGGTCGATAACCAGTTTCGGATAACTATTTTTGAAGTTATTGAAAACCATATGAAAAAAAAAATTGTATTTCTTATTAAACCCTAAGAGAAATATCTCATAGAGTGGTTTACGATAAAATGTTC